TGCCGTCCAGTCCAGCCCGAATGGGAGTACCGTTTGTGGGGCAAGGATAAGTGAATTTCAATAGTATCGACAGGCCTATTCATAACATTTGGAGAAAATTTGTCTCTCTGTGTTTTATGGCTTGACGCTACTCTAAAGCAGAAAAAACCGAATTTCAATATTTTTTCAAAGCATTCTTGTAGTTAATTTCCCCTCTTTTAGAGAGTGGATTAAACCAATACAAGTGCCATAGTAATTTTTTGCCATTACCTGTGCACATTCGGTTTCACACTTTTTACCCCATCATCTGGACTCTCGTCAATTCATCACTCTCTCTCTCCCAGGCGTGTATGCACCGCCAGCATCACTGCCTCCTCGACATTCGTCCCTCCGCCGTTGAACGTCTCACCGACATGGGCATTCCACCCATCGTCTTGTTAACCGATCCACTCTCGTATCGCGAGCTTTGCATGCTCGACGGATCCGACATAGTTGCTGAGATGCCGACTGGTGCTTTCAACGCATCTCGTCATAGGTTGCATCAAAATCCACATCAACTGCAACTTTCGGCTTCAGAGAACTGTCCAAACATCGACAATTCCATCACAATATTCCGCGACCCGGCTGTCAAGAGGATGTATGAAGGAAGAGGCGCTCACACGGCAGACGCACGAGGTACAGCTTCAAGTTCGTTTGGAAAATCAGAGTCAAGAGATTCAACGGCGAATTCAATGTGGCAAGAGTTGTGTCATTTGCGTGCCAGCGCAGGCCATTTAATCACGGACACAATACCGCTCCTTAAACCCAACGATCCTAGTAAGCCGGGCCTCAGTCTGATGGAGTGGCTGGCAAATATTGTGGCCGTCATCGAATTTAATCAGAGATCTGAAGTAAGCTATAATTTTATTACATTTTCTTTCTCTAAATATAATTGGTTTGACCAGATTTGCATAATTTGATCATGTTGTCAGGGCGATATGGAAATCAAGATAGTTTCCAGCGTTGAACCGTAGACTTTGTATATTCCCGAGCGTTTCGTCTGCATCGTTGATAAGAGACGTTGACAATTATCACGACTACTTTGGTCTCGTTGACAATAAGAGCAAGTTGGAAGAAGGGGATCAAGCCAAGGGAGGCCACTAAGAAGGTGGATGCAACACCATCTTGGTCTTCATAACTGCGATTTTTATATATAACTTTGTGAATTCTCTCTTGGCATTCCTTCATCTTTCTGCTTTTAATCACTGGGCAAAATGTTGTATCAAAAGTTGTATTCGTCGTATTTACTATAAGATTATGAAATATTGGTGGTGGAATTTTTCGGCAATAATACGAGTAGGCCTTAAGCTTCCAGTGAATTTCACAGAGCCTCGCTTTCCTGAAGATATTCTCATTCAGGCGAAGTGGAATGAAGCTTCGAACTCGTCCAAGCTGTTTAAATCCACATCCCCAACGGGACTCGAATCTGTATCGCGGTCGTGCAGTGTGTAGTCCCTACACGTTAGCTACTAGATCACACTGCACAGGGCAGATGTATGTTGGTTCGAAACATTACTTGTTCGTCACTATTTGAAGGAGCAACCTAGACATCTTTTCAAGCTCTGCTTGTTGAGTGAGTTTAGACATGGCCGACCTAACCACATATGTAAGCCATTTCAATCTTTCTTTTTATATCGGACTCTATACTACCAATGCTGAAGCAAACTTGTCAATGGAAATTACATTTCAATTGTCACTTTAGTCGGTATGAACTTGTGAGTAGGTAGGATTGCAACTGGACATCATTCTTGGCTTAGGCTTTTTTTCGCCTTTGATAAGAGTTTTGCGACTACCAGTTAATCAGTAATATAAGATGCAATCACCCTATTTCAGTTAAGGTGATGAAGGACTGTTAGAAGAATTTTCCCACAATGATATGAGTAGAGCTGACGTTCCCATTGAATTTCACATTGCCTTGCTTTC